CTGCTAAAATGTGTATCTGTTACTTGTTAGCACCTTAGCAGAGATTAATTTACCTAAACATCACCTCACAAATGCAGGACACGGATGAAACACAATGTGGTTTTTGATAGATGAGGAATGAGTTGTACCCTGAGATGCAGATGTCACTTAAGATGCAGTTAGAGGGAATGGGGGGATGGGGGTGGCCAGGAGAGTATCAAAAGGGAGGGTGAGATGTAACCAAAGTCAAACTTTGGGGGGGCGGGTGCGTCCTAGTTTAACTGGATTTGTATCATCTTGGTTATTATTTGGAATGAAAAGAACCTTGGTTCCAATAGGCAAATGCATAGAGATATTAAGTAGATTAGCGGGTTGCCAGGGTCTGAGGGCAGAAAGGAATGGGGAGTGACAATAGGTACAAGATTCCCTTTAGGGGTGACGAGAGGTCATGGAGTTAGGTAATGGTGATGGTTGCGCAGCCTCATAAATATACTAAGCACCACTGATCTGTGCACTGATCTGTGAAAAGGATGAATTTTATGGTATGTGAATATCTGAAAAAAGAGAAAGAACAAATGAACTTGGGTTCATACTTATCTCCTGGATTAAGTGGCGTGGTTTTGTACTAGATCCTAAGTCCACCCCCATCTGCCTCTAGGGGTCAGATGGCAAGACGACCTGTAGGGGCGCCATTATCCTTTTTGGCAGCATATGGGGAGTTACTTTGACATAACTACCCCAAAGCAGTAGATAAATATTCTTATTGGGATTTCCTTAAAATCAGAAATCAGGTGAGGGTAGGAGGCATAGTCGGAGAGAACTAAAGTAAACAAAAGTAGAGGATGAAGAGAAAGAGCAGAAATCTTGGAGAGCAGTGTGGCATCACTCCTCTTCCCTGGGAGAAAGGGCTGCCCTCATGCTGCCCCTTGTCTGGCCAGGTCTCCTGCCTGTGTCCGATAGTGACTTCTCAGAGGCATGATCTCAGAGCTGCTTTGTCAGGTTGCTGATGCCCTGTGTTCCAGGCTCTCAGGTCTCTGTTGAGAGCTGCAGCCTTCCATAATCCCATCTGCTATGGCAGCCACACAAAGAAGGTCAGGAAGCCCATGACCTTCATTCCCACCCCATGCGAGGGTGCTACTACTTTACCTGTCACTCATTTGGTAGAATATGAGCAATTAAAAGCCAAGGACACCATCTTAACCAAGTCACCAAGGCTTACATCACCAGTAATAAGATGTAGCGACATCATGTCCCCCCTAATATGAGACATGGAAAAGGCACATCTCTTGTGTGGTATTCTGGTCAGATGCATAACTTCAATCAAAAATGAGAGGACTTCACACAAACCCAACTGATGGACATTCTCCAAAATAATTGAAAATGTCAAAGTCATGATAGACAAAGACTGAAGAACAGTCACAGAGAAGACTAAGGAGGTATTACAACTACATGCAATGTGGAATCCTGGATTGGATCAAAGCCTGAGAAAGGACATTAGTGGGGAAACTGGTGAAATCCTAACAAAGTCTGTAG